CCGAAGCGACTGCATGGCTTATATTGGGACAGCTTTACTTAACTTTACTCTCTTCGACAAACTGAAGAAAGTGACACTATTAAGAGTGCGCTAATTTGTACTGTGACGAGGTGAAGATGTGGCAGGCATGGAAGAAATGAGAGATGCGTACAAAATTTTGATTCGAGTAGTCAAGGATAGAGTTTGTTCGGGAAATGATATTAAAATGGATAATAAATAAATATAATGTGTACTAGAACGTAGTATTTTAGGGTATGATTTAGTGCCAGGTTATTGTTAACACAGTGATAAAGCTTTGGGTTTTAAAAAAGCAGGAACTTTTGTGACAAGCTGAGCAACTATCAACTCTTAAAGTAGGGCCCTTGACCATTTAATTTCTTAATATTAATAGCCTTAGTTTAATCAGAGGACATACGGATAGACACACATACTGTGTATTCACTAATAAGATTGCGTTTTATGATCTTGTTATATTTGCGAAGTGATTTAAGTTTTACAACTGATAAAAATAGTACACTAATTTGCTGACAGCAAATCGCAGGCAGTGCTAATGGAGGTCAATTCCATCTAATTGCTCGTGTAGGACAGAGGACTGTGTTGCGGACAAGAGGACACATGTAGCCTGTAGCCTGTGTTTACCCGCTGTAATGGAGCGTCGAGATGGGAATACTCGAACCAAGGTACACCTAATTACATTTCGGTCTCTGATTGTTGTCCACGACACTTAGCATCAGTGCTGCGCCCATGCAATTTTACTTTCGTTAAGCCCGCAGGACACTTGTGTGCCGTGTTTTAATAAGTTCAAAGCCGCTTTGTAAGATAATAGTGGGAATAGACTACAGAAATTTGGAAAACATACGAAGTTGTACTCATAAAACCTGACTATTCACAGATTACTTGAAAGACCCAGGCATTTTTGGGAGGACGATGTTACTAAAATCAGTTCTAAAGAACGAGGTGGTAGGGCATGGACTGGATTCATCTACTTCTGGGCGTGATCAGTGGAGTCAATTCGGATTCCAAAAATAAGGGAGATTTTTCGACCAAATTGGCTACTGTCAGCTTGTGTACAGAGGAACCGACAGAGAGCGAAAGAGAGCAATGTGATAATGGCTGACAGGGACGGAACGTCCATGTTAACCCGTCTGACATTTTGAAGACTGAAGTAGAAAAAGCTTTCAGTCTTCTCTTTCGTGATTCAGTAATAGGCCTACTTTATAGATCGGAACATAGCAGAACCGATTATAAAAAAAAATCATAGTTAGCCAGCTGCAGCCCGCCAAGCGTTGTTACGCTCGCCGCGAGCGTTAGCCCCAACTGACAGGCTAACAACATCCGGCTGGATGGAGCTGGCTAACGTTGCATTATATGTGATCGGATTTCTGTGTTCTAATGTATTGAGTACCACTGAGCCACGAAAGTATGACAGAAGACATTTTATTTTTTGTTTTTCAAACTGTTACCCAGAATAACATTGTTAACATACATGCTTCGCCTCTAGTTGTTAGAACTGATTAACTGATTTAAGGATCTGTATTTTTGTGGACCTTAGCAAACTGTGTATGTAGTCTGGTTTGTAGGGTACATTTAATTCTGGGGGTGAAGAAGAACGTAATGCGTAATTTGGATAGCGTTTCAAATTAATTTTATTTGTTAATGTTGGCAGCAGTGAGGGTAATTCAGGCCGTCGGAGCTGGACTGCGTAGTGTGCAGCAGAATTTATGTTGGGCTATGAGAAGTTAATTAGAAATGTGTGCACGAAGTTTGGGCTCTGATGAGTGCTTAATCCCTTTATTTCCACTGTCAACTCGTTTCTTAATTCCGCTTGTTTCAGAACGGTCCACAGTCTTCTATAGATTCCTGCACGAAACTTTCCTCAAAGAACGCCTCCCATATATTTTTTCTTTTTTGTTTAAGTGCATGTATGTGTGGAGCCGCGTGGCACATAACCATGATACAACGCACTTCTTTTGATGAATAGATTTAATGAGTGCTTATAGCCTGGAACCCTCTAACATCCGCTCCTTTCGGATTAACTCTCCTTCACATTTATATGAAAAGCTTGAAGGGGGACAAAGCAACAAATGGAATTGACACGTGGCCAAAAAGTAAACTTATATGCAGCCACCCCCAAGTCATTGGTAGGGGAGGAGGCTAAGGGGCAATCAATTCATTAGGGGCGCGCGAGAGGATTACGATGCTTGTTGGGGAGTATCATGATGCCTGTTGAGTCCGGAGTGTGGGCTCTGGCTGTGTTAATCAAGTTGCAGGGTGAGAATAGTATTGCTAAGAGCTACCGCCATGGGACCTGACCTTGTGTCTCTTATTCACTCCAAAATGTTGTCTTATCATTATGATACCACTACCAGTTATTCCAGGGACGGGATGTGTTTCATACGAGGACGAAATTGTTTGTAGATTTCTGGACGTGTTCAAAAATTTTAATGCATGCCTTTTCTGTTGTTCTACTTGAAAAATTGGGACAACTTAATACTCTGAGTGGATATTCATTAAACGCAACACTTCCTGCGAAAGGCAGTGATTTACGTTGCGCCTGTATCTATTAGAAAGTTTCCGACGTTAGAGGGGTGTTTATTGCTTACATCATCAGGAAGATGATGATAAAGGCAGTAAGAATCTCTGAAACGTCGCCAGACTTCTGCCGGACTACGCGACATAACATCCCAGAAGAATGTCGTCTGAATTTGATATTGTTTATCAGTATAAATTATTTTTAAACATATTCTTCTACTATTCATAGAAATATTATTGTCAAAATTACAACTAATTTTACGTGAGGCTCATATGTGTAGCAATTTTGAAATTTATTAGTGCGTCACGTGTGTGTGGTATTGACAAATGAGGGTAACTCGCATTTCTTTAACATTACCCACTCTTGATTTCATCTTCTTTGCATCTCTTGAAAAGAAGATTTTGCCATATCTTAATATTGTCAATACGTACTAGACATTTTGATGCATCTTATTTATGTATCAGCATTGAGTTCTTTCTCTTAGGCACTCCAGTCCGTCCGTTCACATCTTCACGAGAATTCAGCTTCCACTGAAAGTATTTAGACATTTAATACATGCATGTGCAGGCTACTTAGAGTTGTGAGACGTGCTTGATTCTGACCTGTCAGTATTGCCGTCAAAGTGAGAGGAAAATATTGCTGTCAACGCTTTGAAAATCCTAAAGAATTCTTCTAGACCTGACGAAAGCCGTGAAGAATATGTCGCGCGGGGCTGCAGTGTTGTTAACATGCCTACTTGTGGCTTGCACTCTGTTCTGTTTTAATTTTCCGCACCAGCCTCGGGCCTGTCTGCATGTCGTCATCCCCAGCACTGCGTGCTGGAGTGCTCATATTCAACGCGACGGTATTACACGGCGCCACAGAGTGTCGTCGGCGTCGCGACGTACGTGACCAGCATTGTGACAGCCTTCAGGCGACGTGTTTCAGCTCGTGCCTTCTTCTTTTTATTTTCTTACTTCTTGTCTCTTTCTGTTTATGGTGGTAAGCCTGTATTCGAGAACCAATTCATTATGAAGATGGCTGTCTTTTGGGATACTGCGCCGTGTAGTCGGCAAAATATCCCAGAAGACAGCCCTGATGGTGGAGGCAGCATGGATCTCTGAAACGTCGGTAAACTTCTACCAGACTACACGGAGCAACAACTTAGTAGACAGCCATCTTTATTTAAGTATTCATTGCCTTGAAAACGTCAAATCCTAAAGAACTATATTCTGATTTCTTTTTCGATTAAATAATCATAGGAATGAAGGTTTCTAACGCTTATTTTGCAGGACACATACTACACTACATTACGTAGTGAAATATGTTTCTTGTATTTCTTTACGTACACTGAGCCAACATCGATTAATATTTAACATTACATTTATAGAAGTTATATCTTTCAAGGTCAGTGATAATATGTCACCGGATTTACGATACAGTAACTCTGTATTTTACTAACAGACTGCATCTATGTGTTTCGTATGATTTTCAGGATGAACGGAGAATTGGAAGTGTTTAGACTAAATGAGCGACTTTTAGCTTCCCAAGAAGGACACTGGTCAATGGAATTGTTTATTAGTTTTCTTTGGCTTTACACAAAGTATATAAAACGAACGCGTAGGCCTAATTGATATGTTGTGCCTGTTTTATGTTGTATCTCTGAAACACCTGAGTCGTTCTGTGTGTGTTGAATATGTAGACCGAATTTAATGTTGATTAGTATCAGTTAAATTTAAGTTCTAATTTAAAATTATCAATCTTGTTGCACATAATAATTGTACGTAATACAAAACGTGTATCTCATAATTATATACAACTTTCATTTGAAACACTTTCGATATCCATTGCGTATTTCGGAGATGAAACACACGGACGGACACACAGTGTCCCCATTATACATTTGTTATATGCACTTGATGTCATTAAATCAAAATGCTGTGGAGGTGTATGGGGGTACAGACCCAAATTACTTCACGCATTTTTATCCTTGGCATTAGATGGTGGTCACTGGTTAATTTCACCCGATGGCCACTTCATCCCGGGTAAGGAGCCCCCCACCCCCCGTCGTACCCATTGTGTATGAGGCTAAATATGATTAACAGCCTTTTTCATTCAGTGATTTATAAGGAAAAAATAATTTTCACTGGCCGGAATCGAACCTGGGTAGTCCAACACGTAGCCAACGAATTTCAAGACTTAACTGTGGCATATTGGAGCGGTGTGTACAGCGGTTCTTGATTGGAAATCCTCCGCTTGACTTGAGGGTGTAGCGCATTTTCTGCAGATTGAGAGCCAGCTACTCTAAACAATACGATATTGGAACCTGGTCGCTGCCCGCCCGCCACAATGAGGATTATTAAGCCGGTGGTTGTAGTTGCAAGTCACGTACGATGGGGGGAGGCATCCCCGGCGTCTCGGCGATGTCACACCCCGGACAGAGCGGCGACAAGATTCTCCAGCACTTGAAATCAAAGCCTTAAAATATTAACCTGCAAGCGTGAAATGTTTATGCAAGTCTTCCAGTACTGTTATGGTAATGGAGGTGGGTTGGGGGGGGGGAGGAGGTAAGGCATGCATACAGAATTATGTTGGTAAATTTTTTAAAATCGAAAGTCTGAAGACCGGGA